AACTACACACAGATTTGCCAATTGATCAAGCCGGGCCTCAAACCAGTGACCTTCTTGTCTTGAGGTGACAGTGCTTACCACTGCACCACTATGCCACCAGTTAGAATTTAGTACCTGCAATAAATAATGTAGATTGTTACTGCCTACAAATGTTTGTAATCAACAGCAGACACCAAGTAATGTACAGTTCCCAGCACTGTTTTTTTTACCTCGTGAACTGCTGACCTTGAATACACAACACAGCATTTTTGTTGTTTTGTTTTCGCAGATGTAAATAAGGATTACTTTGACTACGCCATCGTCTGTACACAAACCATTTTAAAAGCACATAGAAAAAACATTTCATTTTTAATTTATTGTCTTGTAAACGTACCCTTAAAAATACATTACAGACATATACTCAACCTCTTCTGTGCTGCATTGTACTCAAAGACACATTTCGAGGCTTTTATGTTCACACACCAACACGTAATCTTTCAAGACATTGGTTGCAGTCAACGTTTCCAGCCTGCAGAATTATTTTAGCATAAAATGTTATGATTAATCTCTAACAGCGGTTTATTTTAAAACTTTTTCATTTCCCTTTCTGCAGCTTAGCGTTGCTCATGTATCCATACAAGTGTGAGATTGGACTTTTTATAACTATTTTATGTGACATATTATTACAGTAATGTTTCCCTAAGCACCGACTGCAAACTTCACATGTAGCTAGCCTCCTCTGGATGCGTTGAGTCTAATTTACGTTTATAAAGTCTCAGACTCATTATTTTGCACATTCATTTGCTCTCGCAGGCTTTAGGCCAGAGATGCTGCGCTGTATTCTGAGCAAAAATACAAATAATAATAATGTATTTTCATAAACTGTTTTTAGAGAAAAGCGTTTTCTTCATTTATCCTGCTTCTTGTTGTGACACATTCGCTTCGGGATATCAGAAGTACTGTAGGTTATGATCCTTTGTAATGCCTCCTGTCTTTGCTACAATTTGTATTTTATTGCATTATCATCCACTTTCCTTTGGTACAAAACTATCATCTTCTTTTTGAAGCACCGCTGAATATGGAAATGAGCTTTTTAGTCGACTGCCTCAATTCTCAACAAATGTTCTCACCGAGAACTCTTACAGATGTTGGTTTTGTTCGTGTGATTATTTTTCATTTCACAGATGTGCTTGGGTAGGAGGATAATCAGTCAAAATTTCAGCCTTGTTTTATTTACAGACTGAGCAACCTAAAGTTTAATTGTCTTTTTGTTGTTGTTGTTGTTGTTGCCTGATGGGTGCTTAACCTTTATTAAATGTAAAAGGTAAAATATGATGATTGTTTTTTTAACTCTGAACTGTCTTGTGCCACAAACTATCAGTGACTACGTTTACATGGACATCAGTAAACAAACTATTTGCCTCAATCTGAATAAGACAATAAAAGGATTACGGAGTTTATTTTTGAATGTTCCTAGTTTGATTAATGTCATTACATCATGACATTATCCAATGTTTCCTCTGGAGTTTCATGTAATTTCTGGAGTTTCATTTTTAATTTTTCGACTTTAACTGCAGTTTGGCACTTTCACTTTCAATTAGGAACATTTTGTTCATGCTCTCATGACTGTTTTAATGGAATTTGATACCTGCACACCGAATGGAAAAAAAAAAAACCTTTACTGATTAGGTAGGTGCAAAAAATTGTTTCAAACAGCTGTGTGTGTATGGACTGTCCTGTCCATAATGTGGTGAAAAGTCATGACTTTTAATTCAATAGTAATAGTTTGATTGTGGTTTTTACATGTCTGTAGTGCACTTCAATGATGTGTCTAAAATTGGCATACTCCACATGTCAGATTCAATTAACCACATATTGCTGTTTACTGTACATGGTAGACTCTAAAGTAGAGTTTTGTTTTAGGATTATTGGTGTCCATGTAAATGTACTCAGTCACATGTATTTATTATTTAATTTACTTACTTTTTGTGTCCTTTTACCTTGTTTATGGTGTCCATACATTTCTTAAATGGCCTAACAAATGAAGATTTGATGCATAATGAACTAATTAAAAGCCCTTAGGCAAGCTTGTGAAAGGGGTACCTTTTTTTTACTCTAAAAGACCTTTTTGCAATTATTTGCCTCAATTTTCTGTTTAATTATGAGATATAAATATTGCCTTTTAGTGATATTTTAAGTAAAATTTTAGATGGGTTAGCTTGTTGGATTACTTTTTAATGAACCATTAAAAAAAAAAAAGATTTAAAATAAAGAAAAATGAATACATTTTTATTTTTAAAATACAAATCTGTAAAAAATTTAAATTAAAAACTAACCTATTGTTATTTACAAGGCAAATAACAAACTGGCCAGCACATAATTATAATATATATATATATATATATATATATATATATATATATATACTCTAATAAACAGCCTCTAGTAAATTTATGGCCAAATTAGTCAAATAATTATAAGATGGGCAACTTTTGGTGCTTCACACCTTTTTATTGTTTTTTTTTTCATGAATAAGGTCCAATATGTAGAATAAAAGATATTTGTCTTTTTTTTTTTTTTTTTTTTTTTAAACATTACAGTAAGGAAAGATGACTTCAAGTCAGATTGTATGCTTTCTTGAACAGCTGGATGTTGGACTCATTCATTAATTCAGTTTCTTTTCGACTTAGTCTCTTTATTAATTTAAGGTCTCAACAGTGTAATGAACCGCCAACTTATCTAGCATATGGATTACACAGCAACACTGGGAAAACATCCATACACCCTCATTCACACACACCTACGAACAATTTAGCTTACCAATTCACCTATACCACAAGTTTTTTTGGACTTGTGAGAAACCGGAACAACTAGAGGAAACCCACACAAACACGAGGAGAACATGCAAACTCTACACAGAAATGCCAACTGACCCAGCCGATGCTTATAGTTTGTTTATATAGTGTATAGATTTTCTTCATAGTTTGTATTTTTATTGGTATAGGCTTTTAACATCTGGCAAAAGGGACCACTAATGAAAAATACATTTAAGTTATTGGGGAATGTTGGTTAATGTTCACTTTTCTTTTTTTGTGAAATAAATAAACAATATATATATAATTATTTCATATGTGTGTGTCTTTGTGTTTTAGTCTCATCATTTCCATAATTCCTTTAGCAAACAACTTACTAAAACAACAGAGGACTTAAGCAAATAAATAACAGTGGGTGCAATTACTGTACCACCACAGTCGGCTGAAGGAGCTTGGCGAGTCTTCTTTGACATTTGCTTAAACTGAAGCCCAAAATCTCTGAGGTTTACATAGCAGATGAAGGAAGCACTGCCATTTAAATAGGATACGCCCTAACCTTAAAATCTCATAATGCAATGGGAAAAAAATATATATATTTATATATATAAATTTTAAGAAACGTGTGGGCCAACTTCAGCTATCATGTGCTTTGTGAAATTAAAACTGCACAAAGTTTGTGTAGCGCATCGAGTACACAGCCTGCGGGACGGATGTATGCGAGTCATCTAAAAAACTTTCTTTAATAAGACAGCTCATCTCGGCGGACGCCCTACAGAAACACAGTTGTCAGAAAGCTTATTGAGTGCTGCAATGCCTGGCACTTTCCACACGAGGCTGGAAAGATATACGGGAAGCCACGAGAATAGATGGGACTAATTTTTAATGGTTTTTCAGTGTAGCTCTGAGCTTTGGATGGCGCAGATCCATCATTATTGCGGTGTCATCTGTGGCTGTTGAATTAGCGAGGATCTGAAACGCAGAATAAACAGTTGTGTTTTTGTTCTGACTACGGCGACTGGGGAAATGTAGATTTGACATTACAATTGATGGTCTTTTTTGTCTGTTTCAAAGTGAGTTTTTTTTTCGTTCTTTTTTTTCGCATTACTTAAAGTCTCAGTTTTTGCGTGTCGGATTCTTTCATTTGTTTCTAATCTGTCAGAGGAGCTGCACTACTGAAGATTTTGCTCGTTTATACATATATGAATATAAAAACATGGTTTGCTTTGTAGATCATGGGAGTTAAAGTGACACCAAAGCAGGTCATGATATTCTCATAAATGAGATGACATCTTAATATGATTAATACAAAGCACAATCTAAGAAATCATATAAAAATAACAGAAAAATAATTAAGTTGTTTTAAACCTGGACAATGTATTGTTTTTTTTTTTTTTACAGGCAATATAGAAACGTATGTTAACAGATATTTTTACAGTGTCACAGTGTTTAAAAGTAATCTTCTACAGTAATATTAACAAATAATCCGTTTTTCACAGTAGTTCTTACGAGTTTAAACTACAAATTTTTAATAAAAAATAATATTAAAGACAAATAATAAAAATTATTCGTATTTTTATATGTTCTGTTTTAGATTAGTTTCTTAAAGTTTTAATTTAAAGTAAACGTAAATTTTAAAGTGAACTTTAACAATTTAGTTTTTTGGTAATTGCATTTAATTATAAACATTTTGTTTAAAGTTAAACTTGAAAATGTATAAGTTTAACATATGTTTTACATAACAGATATCCCTCCAGCTGCAATCCAATAGTGGGAAGCACCCATAAACTGTAGCATTCCCACACATATGGCCAATTAGGTTTATTCAATTCATCTTTACCTTTTTATGTTGTTGTTGTTTTATTTCTTTTATTTTAACCATGTCATTATTTCATGTCAGTATGTTTGGGGTTTTGAACCAGAGGTCTTAGCATTTTTGGTTGCAATAAAGTCAGCAAAATTAAGATCAATACCAATAAAATGCAAAACCATCTTAATAACAAAGGTTGTTTCCCTTATAAACTGACTCTTTGTAATCTATAATATGACCACCTATGATGGATTAGTGCTGCCAGATTTATCTTTCTTGATTAGATAAAGTCAACTTAAAGTGCTTCCTGTGTGCGTGTTTTTTTTTTTGTTTTTTGTTTTTTTAAGCCAGCACACTTATCAAGCTTTTCTGTTTGCTCTTTTCTCTTGTTGCTTCTACAGGTGGCGAAGTGCCCTATACAACTCTGGCTACCAGGATGATGATGGGGGTTTGGTGGCTCTTTGCTCTAATAGTCATCTCCTCCTACACGGCGAATCTGGCTGCTTTCCTCACTATCTCCCGCATCGAGAACTCCATTCAGTGAGTGCACACATTCATCCAAAGTGTCAGTCTTATAGCTTGCATCAAACACTGTAATCATCCACACAATAACAAAACAACAAACAAGTTAGAATGTTCGAACTCAACTCCAAATATGATGTGGAGTTTAAGCATAACTGACATGATTTTGTGCGAGCAAGGATTATATTTGGATAGATACGGTATTGAAGTGCCCCTGTTATACTACTTTTGAAATGTGTGAATTTAAAAGGTCTACAAATTTTTAAGATCAAACTGTCAATACAATTTCACTTCTGAAACTGATCTACAGTTGAAGTTAGATTTATTGGCCCTCGTGAATTATTAAACCCTGTACTTTTTTTTTCTTCAATTTCTGTTTAATGATTTTTTTTTCAACACAAATTTAAACATCATAATTTTAATAACTCGTTTCTAATTACGGATTTCTTTTATCTTTGCCTTGATGACAGTACATAATATTTTACTAGATATTATTTAATATATTTCAAGATACTAGTATTCATTTTAAAGGGTAATATATAGGCTACTAGGTTAATTAGGCAAATTTGGCAAGTTTGAGTAATTAGGAAAACCATTGTATAACAGCTATTTGTTCTGTAGAGAATTGAAAAAAAAAATTGCTTAAAGGGGCTGTTTGTAAGTTTTTGACCCCTCTAAAGCATAGAAATATCATAATATGTTTGCAAATGTTTAAGAAACATGCCAAGTGAACATTCTTGTTTATCTGAAAGTCAGATATTCTTTGTTTTGGTCTTTAAACCCGCCTATTTATCCATTTATATTTCAGCACCATGGGTTGCCTTAGTGTATATATATATATATATATATATATATATATATATATATATATATATATATATATATATATATATATATATATATATTCTTGCTGAAATACAACAAATAAGACTTTCACCAGGTGGAAAAACATTATAGGAAATACTGTAAAAAAAATTCCTTGCATAATTAGGGAAATTTTTGAAAAAGGAAAAAATTTACAGGAGCGAAAATAATTCTGACTTCAAGTGTGTGCAGACCTGTGACCAATTAGAATATTGCAATTGAATAGTTTTAACTGGCCACCCATAAATAATTAGGACTGAGCATTTAACCAAAGGTGATATCCATGTGCATGTTGACAGTAAAGCCGAGTATAAAAAGTAAATATTGCTGCAGCCTAGAGACCTCCAAGAAGATTACACCTTAATAGACTTACACCTCAAATAGGTTGAGAGACATTTATGCCACAAGTAAGTTGGGGAGAGAATGGCTACTGAAATAAATAAAAATGCAAGGAGACGATTTAGGGTTGGGGTAGGTGTAGTTGTAGGTGTAGATGTTAATAAACACAATAGGTTACTGAAAAATTGAAGTTAGTAATTTGTTACAATGTACTTATTGTGTAAATGTGTGTTTTTTAAAATTATTATTTGTCTAATTAAATACCTGCATTTTATTAAATCTGTTATTATATTTATAATTGCATTGTTGACCCTCAATTACACCTTAAATCACCCTTAAACCTACCCATACCACCAAATCTGTCCCTAACCCCACCCACATCTCACCTCAAGAGCACCAGATGTGTTCTGCAATACACGATGAACACATTAAGCCCATTGTATTTATATTTTGGTGCAAGTACATTGTAGTTAAGGACACTTAAAGTAGGACCAAAGGTGGCAGAGTGACTAAGTGGTTAGCATGATTGCTTCACACCAAGGTTGTGAACTTTTCATTGATTTATTTTAGTTTTTACTTTAACTGTGATGATTGAGGATTTACATTTTTTGTTCAGGGACATTTTTTGGCCTCTTTTCTTAAATTTGATGAGTGATATTGTAGGCATTTGTGCCACAAACTATCATTAAATTAGTTATATTGGCCTGATTGATTACAACATTTCATAAACTGTGTAAAAACAACACCTGTGTATGTCCTGCTCAAGTCAGCCTTGTGGTGTTTCATAGTTAACTTGACACCATTACAGTGTGGTATGATTGCTAAGGGATTAAACATTTATTTTTGAAAAGAGTTGATTATATTTGTTGAATGATAAATTACATAAAAAAAATGTGGTCACAAATGTTACTTTAAAATCCATCCTATGTCACCAATTCAATAATCAAGCAGTTTTTGGTCTAATCATTATACTGGTGCCTAGGTATATAAATAGTGTAATATAAAAGCATAAATGTTAGTTTAACAGTTTATTTAAATATAGCTGTGTGTTATAAAAAAGAAGACTGTGCAAAGTCTACATTTAGATACTCAATCGTTTGTGTGTGTGTGTGTGTGTGTGTGTGTGTGTGTGTGTGTGTGCGTGCGTGCGTGCGTGCGTGCGTGCGTGCGTGCGTGCGTGTGTATGTACATGTGTGTGAGTAGGTCTCCTGGGGACATACAAAGTCCCTGTTTTAATTTCCTGTGGCACAAATTATATATCATTCCAGTGAGAATGACATCATTTATCTCTCCATCAGTGATTCATTTATTGAATCCTTCCTGCCTCAGTGCACAGGAATAGAAAAAAATGGGTGCTTTTTCATTTTAATATGTGTGTTATTTTGAAGTGTATTCTTTAAGCATTGTGAAACATTTCAAATCAGTGTGGCTGCATGCAGCGTTTCTTTTTTCTATGTCATGGCCTTCTGTTGTTAGCATTTAGAAATCCACATTTTTTTAAAGTATTTCATCTAACAGGCAGATTTGTAAACAGAGATAAGACTTGTCAAGCATAACAAAAAATGCTTTTGACATTTGAACCATGCTCAAATGATGGCAGATTTTCCCCCAACAACAGGACATTCTTATGAATGACATAAAATATGTAACCTATATATGAAATAGAATTGTAATGTATGTAGAGATGTACAGATGAAGTCAGAATTATTAGCCCCCCTGAATTATTTGATCGTTTATTTTTTCCCCAATTTTTTGTTTAAAAGAGAGCAACAACACATTTTTCAACACATTTCTAAATATAATAGTTTTAATAACTCATTTCTAATAATGGATTTATTTTATCTTTGCCATGATGTCAGTAAATAATATTTTACTAGATATTTTTCAAGACACTTCTATACAGCTTAAAGTGACATTTAAAGACTTAACTAGGTTAATCAGGGTAACTAGGCAGGTTAGGGTAATTAGGCAATTTATTGTATTACAGTGGTTTGTTCTGTAGATTATCGAGAAAAAATATACCTTAAAGGGGGTATTAATTTTGTCCCTAAAAGGGTGTTTAAAAAATTAAAAACTGCTTTGATTCTAGCCGAAATAAAACAAATAAGACTTTCTCCAGAAAAACATATTATTAAACATACTGTGAAAATTTCCTTGCTCTGTTAAACATCATTTGGAAAATATTTTAAAAAAGAAGAAAAAAAAATTGAAGAATGGTAATAATTATGACTTCAACTATATGTATGGGCATGTCAGGCCGAGCCTCGGCTGGGTCAGTTGGCATTTCTGTGTGGAGTTTGCATGTTCTCTCCATGTTCACTTGGGTTTCCTCTTGGTGCTCCGGTTTCCCCCACAAGTCCAAAGACATATGGTACAGGTGAATTGGTTATGCTAAAATGGACTGTAGTGTATGTGTGTAAATGAGTGTGTATGGATGTTTCCCAGTGATGAACATTTAATGAACATTTTTATTAAAAGCTCTTATAATAATAATAATAATAATCCTTATAATCCTTTGATAATAATATTTTACATTGGAAATCTTAAAAAAATGTCAAAACATTCCATGTGACTTCAGTGGTTCAACTGTAATCATAATCCATTAAACTTCATTAACACTTTTGTGCCCCAATTTTGTTTAAATATGACTTTGTAGGTACCACAGTGTTTACCACAGGACAATAGCACAGCATGCTAAGGTCATATTGCTCTAGTAAATGTGCGCCCAGATATGACACAGGAGACAAAAGCAATTAAAGCAATTGTTACAGCATTTTTTGGCATACATAATTGTTAAAGATTCACGTAAGTCAAATGAAATATTTTCATTGTTTTGGTTCCTTTTCTGGATTTTGAATATCTTGTGACCATTGCCGTCTATGAAGGATGTGAGAGCTCTCGGATTTCAACTAAAATATCTTAATTTGTGTATTAAAATGAACAAATTGCTTAGGTGATTCAAACAATGTAATGGTGAATAATTCCAGCCTGATCTCACGAGGAATCTTAACTACTTTATGTTTTGTCAGTTTAGTGGCTAATAATACAAATTTATGAGAGTTCAGTCATATAAAAATGTACAATTTTTAACAAAGCAGCATGGCACCCAACCCAACCCCACCACTAATTGAGCAAACTAAATTGTAAGAATAAGATCAAACGAATTCATACAAGTTAGCTAAGTCAAAAAGTGATAAACTGCCATGATATTGAGATTGTGTTGGTAATTCTGACTAATCATTTAATAAGGAAATATAATATATAATCTTTTAATATGTTTAACATTTAATTTATGAAAAATGTTTATATAAATATGAGAAGTGTTTTTTTTTATTTTCAACTTTCGAGCTTCTGCCCCTCGAAATGTCTGTGCATGTCCCTAAAGCTGCGTAGTGCATTTTATCCAAATTTGTGGTCGAAATTGGTACTTACAAATCCATTCCATGTGACCAAGTCATTTATCAAGTGCAGTTTTTGGACTAATCAGATTTACTGGTGCCTGGTAGTCAGACAGTTAACTGTGTTTTGCAACAACATGATAAACTCTGCGATTTCTAATGTTGTTAATCAAATTCAGTCATGACCAGCAGTGACAGAGTAAATTATGCTTGTAACGATCCTCGTCTCCTCCGTCATTTATCCATGTAGGCGATTTAAGAGCGGCATGCTACTAGGGAAAATGAGAGCATTTAGTGTTTATTTTTTCAAGATCTCAGTTTGTTTATTTTTCTTTGCATTAGATTATCATTAATGAGCTTGTGCTTAGATCGCTTGATTCTAGCTCTATGCACCTAATTAGGATTTCCATAAATTTA